GGAGGCTGATTTTCAATTTGTCTTTTTTGTTCTGAATCTTAGATGTTTTTGATTCTTAATGCAGTGCATTCATTTCAAGTGGATTCAGAGCTTCAAATCGGATGATAAATGTATGTTTGTTGAGTTTTGGAGGGAGGCGGAAGGTGTTGTAAACTAACGTTTTGAATGATGTCTCGTTTAACATTTTAAACTCAAAGCGGGCTGGGCCACAGATCAACACACCCAGGCGCTATGTGACAGAGACGCACCACGCGGACAGACGACGTGCACCTACAAAAATGGAAACCTGGAGGGGAGAGCACTAGAGAAGCAAAGGCACAGGGGGCTCCGAAGTTAGGGATTCTCTTTGCTGTTGTCTCAGTGTGTCCTGCTCCAGACCTGGAGGGGTGGGAGCGGGGGTGGACAGAGGAAGTGTGAGTGTCCACTCTGAATGGGCCTGATGCACACTGTTGCAGTCACCGGTGTCCCCCGGGTTCCAGGGGGCTGCACTGAATCGCAGAGAAGTGAAGTATTGTTCCGGTCTCATGTTCTTAACATGCGATTTGTTTTGTTCGCTTCTCTTGGTTATCTGTCCCGCGTCCCCTAGCATTTAATATTATAATGAGTCATTTTAGCTTCAGGCTTGCTAGGCCTATTTTTTCATGCTTTTTTTTTTTTTTTTTTTTAGTTCTAGATGCCAGTCTTTCCCTTCGTTCCTTATTCAGCAGATGCTTTAATAAGCATGCCAGGCCCTGGGAATAAAGAAACCAGATATGGGGCAGTGGCACTCAAAACATGTTCTACAGATTGTTGTCTGCCCCTCCGTTAGCGTTCCCCAGAGAAACAGACCAATAGGGTGTGTGTGTGTGGGGGGGGTGCATAAAGAGATTTATTATAAATAATTGGCTCACTTGATTATGGAGGCGGTCACGTTCCAGGATCTGCAGGGTGAGTCGGCAGGCTGGAGACCCAGAGGAGCTAGTGGTATAGTTGTGGTCTGAAGGCCAGCGAGCCCCAAACCCCAGAAGATCCAGTGTTTCAGTTCAAGTCCAAAAGCAAGAAACACACACACACACACACACACTAATGTCCCAGTTCGAAGGCTGTGAAGCAGGCATTGTAATTCTGTCTTACAGAGGGCAGGGTCAGCCTTTGTGTTCTACGCAGGCCCTCAGCTGATTGGATGAGGTCCCCACCTGCACTGGGGAGGGCAGTCTGCTTTACTTGGTCTAGTGCTTCAAATGTCAATCTCATCCCAAAACACCCAGCATCCTATCTGACCACATATCTGGACACCCCGTGGCTCAGGCAAGTTAACACATAAAATAAACCATCACAGTTGCCAAACCGTTACTGGTCTGCGACATGATGAGTGTGGAAGCTGAAAGTGTGCACATGGGAACTTCCGCAGCACTTGGGCGTGCATCAAGCACGTGATCAGTAGACTTGTCTTGATGAGCAGGGTATAGACAAATTTGTTGAATTCAGGCGATACATTTTACATGGGGCAAGCTATGTATTAGGACCAAATTTTTATCCAGGATGGCTTGGGGGTAAAAACTCTTCCTTCATTACTGATCGAGAAATACTGCTATAGGCGCAGTTGTTTTCATAGGCCCAGAATCCCATGCGATGGGCCTTACAGTGACGGTTTGTACCCAGAGCAGGGGGGCGTTCTGGGAGAACCCATAAGACATCACAGGGAAGTACAGAACACATCTAAGAGGGCCAGCCTTTCACTGCCCTAACCCCCTCACCTCCTAGCCCTGGAGGGTTAGGAGAAGCTGCAACAAAAAAAAAATCAGCAGCCAACGAGATGAGTAATCCAGGAACACTAGCAAGGGTCAGGATGAATAAACGCAGAATGAGCCACAAATATGGCAGAGGAGTGGGGCCCCGCTTACTCACCGGTCCACGCAGCATTGCATTGATTGGCCGCACTAGAGATGCAGGGCCCATCTGCCGTGAGCGTGGAGGACGAGAGCCGGGAGGAGCCCGGAGCCCGTCTCCACCGCGCTCCCTTTCTGAAGCAGCAGCTGGCTGAGGAAGAGAAGGGTCAGCTCTAGCCGATGTCCCTTGAAACAGACACACATCAGAAATTATAATTCTGCCCTTTGCTGAGCAGTGAGTACATGCCGGGCACTGGGCGTAGCGTGAGTGCTGACTTTTCCAACGTGGCTTCCCCTGTTTGGGGCCTGGCACTTCTTATTTTGTGTGTCTTCACTGGTGGCGCGGAGTTGTAAAGTGCGGAAAACATCTGGAAGTCTTTGAGAGCAAAGTTCGCTTACGGACATTTGGGGTCTCAGGAGGATAGAAATCGGCACAGAATGTTGAGAGCACTTCCCCTCCAGTATCCCCGGAATTGTAGTGGCTTAGGGTTTGCCTACTTATCCTGTATTTGTAAGCGCATAATCAAAGAATTAAAATGGACTTTTCATAAACATGTAGAATGTGGGGCTTTCTGGAGAGGCATGTGGGAGGTGATGCAGCCCCCATGGGAAACCCGCCTGATTGTCTGCATTTTCCTGGGTGAACTTTGACCTACCTAAAGCTGAAGGCAAGAGGTTCAGAGATGCCACGTGTCAAAGTAAGGCACGGTGCGTCGGCTCCTTGCTCCCATGTGCTATTCAGAGTAGCGCTGTGTTGTTCAGAAAATGTACAGCCTTTAACATTATCAACTCATCTTGCCTGTAATCAGCGACCCCACTGGGAAGGAGTTGGAGGAACTACTTTATACTGAGGGACTCCCAGCTACAGTGCTCGGTGCTGGGGTATGTTACTTAAGTGCTTTGGGTATCTTACTTAAGCCTTCCCTCATCCTCGTAAGGTTGGCATTTCTGCTCCCATTTCACAGAAGGGAATGCTGAAACTCGGAACACTGAAGTAACCCCTCCAAAGAGCACCCTCAGAGTTCCCGTTCATTGTTAGTTTTGTGGGCTTCCGGAGTTTCTCAGATTTCTGCCCAGGTGTTCCCAAAGACTCCCATATCCCAGAGTGCCTGGACCTCTAGCTCTCCTTGATTCAAGCCATGCTGCACCACAATGGGGACCTGGCTTAAGCTTTCAGAATCTCAAGTTTCCTCGCCTGTAATGGGGACACCGGTTGCCACCTGCTTGTGCTGTGATAACCTGGCATCCTCCGCGTGAACTGCCCAGCACAGCGCAGACGTACCACAGGCACTGGACACAGTGGGATTCTGCCCTCCGCCAGGCTCGGTGCTCATCTTCCCTACCCCAACTGGCCGCGCGGATGTCAGCTGAGAAAACGCAGTTGCTGTTAGCTGCCTGTTCTTTTTCATTCTCCGTGGAACTAATTTGATTTGACCAAACAGGGAGACCGGTTTCCTAAGCCCGGGTCAGAGCTTGTAATTAATTGTCCAGCTTGGTGACGATGCAACCCTCATCGACCTGTGATCTGACGTCCCCTCACACTCACCGTGGCCTTTGCTTTGTAGTCCTGGGCAGTGTAATTCAGCACGTCGGTATCTGCTGCATTGATGGGAGAGGACCAGAGCTCAGGAGTTTAACCCCGAGGTGATTAGGAGGGAAGAAAGGAGTTGTGTTTGTGAAGGCCCAGGGATACATCAAAGGCCTTGGGCCGAGGCGATGCAGTCCACAGCGCAGGTGAACCCCACGGGGTGGGATTTACCATGTTCTTTGGTCCTCAAGTTTTGTCAGTCACACCGACTCTCTGGGACACTTTGAAAGCTCAGTGGGGTCTGGGCAGGAAGTAGAAAAACTTGAAGTATGAAAAAAGAGGAGTGTGTTTGGCAGGTGGCCGAGAGAGGGTAATTTGCTGGAGATGCGATTTTTGCTCCGTCGTCTGGGGCAGCCACGGTGGAGCTGGATGCTGGGATTTCTGGGGTGTGGGGACAAAGGAGTGACACCTTTTGGTGCATCCGGTGTCCCTGGGGCTCCTCAGTGGTAAGCATGCACTAAGCGCCTGCTGTATACAACATGGTGTGCTAAGTATCCTGGGGAGATGGGGTTTCACATCAATAATTTTTTAAAATTCGCGGCTCTCTGTATAGCCTATTGTAAAACTGCATTTAAGTGGAAGGTGTACAGGCTCGGGCCTAAAAAATACCTGGGTCTGCGTTCAGACATCAGCGTACTCCGTTGTGTGGCTTCAAAAGACCTACTTGTCTTCTCTCTGTGATTGTTCAACAGAGTGGTGCTGGCCCTCAGCTTGACCGTGACTGCTTTCCCGGGAAAACTTGGAGACTGATCACGTTACCACTTTCTTCTTCCTCGTTGCCTTTCATTATTTTACTGTTGGCATGGCCTCCACTCTCCCAGCATTTACTGGGTATTGTGGTAATGGAACCACAAAGAGGAGGAAGACTAGCCTGTGTCCTCACTGAACTCCTCACCTTCATAGGAAACATTTGATAAAATAATTTATGACCGATGTATGTATATGATTTTATGTAGTGCTTATGTACCAGAATACTTTTGGGGGATATGCTGAAGGGTATTTTATCTTCCATTTGAAGGCTTTTATGGGAGGTGATGCTTCTGAAACAGAGTTTTGAAGGATGAATAGGAGTTTGCGTAGGAAGAAGGAAGTAAACTTAATCATTATTCGTATTTCCCCCTACACTCTCTTTTTTGCCCACTTTCGTGTCCTCCTACTCCCTTCGCTTTCCCTTTCTCCTCTTTCCCCACCTCTGCCTCCTTCCTCACGCTCATGACGCTTTATTGAAAACAAGAGTGTCTACCTAGTGACATGCCAAGTAGGGGAAAGAAGACAGTGCATTTAATTAGGAAAAATTATATTATGATTGTCTTCTCTGAACAGCATGTTAGTTTTTATCACCGCCATAAGTCATTCTGTTCTCGACTTCGTTCCCAGTTCAGCCTGGATGCGTTTATTTGTAACCCATTTTCCATCTGTTTTCCCTTGTAAATGGGGTTGTGAAGGGAACTTGGCTGTGCCGTAATGGCTGCCGGGGGTACGTGCAGGGGCTGGGGTGTGTTTCGTTCCGGGTTAACTCTTCCCTGGTCTTTCTGTGCCCGCAGATGGAAAGCCCGTGTCTCTGTCTCCACTGGAGTCCCAGCCGCACAGCCCCCGGTACTCAGCCTCGGGCCCGCGGGAGCGCGAGAGCCTGGAGGTGCGCGTGCGCGAGGTGGAGGAGGAGAACCGTGCGCTGCGCCGGCAGCTCAGCCTGGCCCAGGGCCGGGCCCCAGCCCATCGCCGTGGCAACCACTCCAAGACCTACTCCATGGAGGAGGGTACCGGGGACAGCGAGAACCTTCGCGCTGGCATCGTGGCGGGCAACAGTTCCGAGTGTGGGCAGCAGCCGGTGGTGGAGAAGTGTGAGGTAAGGAGCACCTGAGGCCATCCGGGGGCTCAACTGTCCCCACTGTACCCACCTCTTGCAAATGTTGCCCTAGAAGCACCGCCTGCACAGGGCTGACATTCTTGACCCAGGCCTGGGTGTGAATCTGGCGTGGTCACTAACTTTGCTGTTGGGCCTGACAAATCGTTAGCCTCTGAGCCTCAGTTTTGCCATCTGAAAAATGGGGATGAGAAAGCCTATACTACAAGATTCTGAAAGGTGCAAGCTGATGGAACTCCCCTCTCCTTTCTTTGCAGTTCATTTGGACCTGCTCAAGGTTTATACACCTAGTTGTCATCCTGACAACCCTTGTTACTTACTTAGACTACAGTGTGAGTGGTGCACCTGAGGTTGTAGCCCTGTTGGGCAGCTCTCTTGGGTCTTGTTCGTACTTTATGAATGGCTTCTGCAATCAGAAGACTTGTTGCTTATCTAAGGCAATGGTTTCAGGTTTTATATCTCGATATCATTTTCCCTCTTTTAGAGTATGCTTTATTTCTTAATAACTCTTCGGACATTTGTAAAACTTACCAACCCTTCTTCCTACCACCTCTCAACTCACCCCATTCACGTAGCCATGATTATGTATGTATTGAATACACACACACTCGTCTCGTCTCGTTTCATCTCCTCTCCTCTTCCTCTCCTCTTCCCTTCTCCTTCCCTTCCCTTCCTCTTCTTGCCCCTCATTTCCTGCTTCTTTATTTTCCTTGGACAGGACTTGGAAGCACCCTGTTAAGAGCAGGACCCTTTGAGACACACAGAAGCCTGAGCTTTTCCCCCAGCTCTGGTGATTCTGCTGTGAGTACTTGCACAAGTCGCCCAGACTCTCTGAACTTCAGATATCTCATCAGTAAGTTTGAAAAAAATAATACCTCCTTCATGGAATACTCATGAGAGTTAAACGGGATGTCCATATAGAGGTACACATCGTGTGCTTTCCACCATGGGCAATTTTTAAATGATTTCTAGGTAGATGCAGGTATTATGTGCTGTTTCTTTATTTCATTTCCTGGACACATTCTCAGAATGTTAAGCTTCAAACGTCCTGAAGAGAAAGCTTTGCAAACTGTGATCTGTTCATGTGAATGGGATGCTTTCTAACATTGGCGATGCTGCACGGTCTGTCACAAGGGAGTGTCGGGCTCACTGAGTGATGTAGACCCGTTCTATGGAAGGCCAGTGGCAAGCGCAGAGACTCAGGACCGGCACAGTCAGGGAGAGCCCGTGGGGACGGTAGGGCTTCTCTTGCCCCGAGTGTAGTGTGGTGGAGATCCGGGGAGAGGCAGGTGGAAGGTATCCAATGAGGAATGTACACGTGAGTAGGAAAAATAGGAAGCAAAGTAGTGTCACTGCAGAAAGAATTCAGGATGTGGCCAGTTGGTCAGTCAGACAAGCACTGAATACCTGGGCGGGAAGTGGTTTCACTGCATTGTCATTCATTCATTCATTCATTCAATGAGTACTTATTGAGCCTCTGTTACGTATCTCACATTGTTCTCTGTGGTAGGAAATAGCAATGGATGAAAAAGAGACAAACGTCCTCTCTTCTAGTTCTTGTAGTCTTAGGTGGGAGGTGGAGAAAGAGATGATGAACAAACAGAGAAATGCAAATGTCAGTGGTAGTCAGTGCTGTATGTTTATTCCATCCTGACTGTACGCCAGGCCCAGTCTCCTTTAGTCTCCCATAATCATTGATGGCGGCCTGTATTATTGGACATCTCTATTTTACATCCTTGAAAATGGGGACTTCTCCTGGCTGGTGTGGCTCAGTGGACTGACTGCCAGCCTGTGAACCAAAGCATTGCTGGTTCAATTCCCCATCAGGGCACGTGCGTGGGTTATGAGGTCCCCAGTTTTGGGGGCTTGCGAGAGGCAGCCAATGGATGTCTCTCTCCCTATCTTTCTCCCTCCCTTCCCCTTGCTCTAAAAATAAATAAAATCTTTAAAAAAGAAAACGAGGACTCAGCAGTATTCACAAATTCCCTTGGTGTCTAGACTGGTTTGGGGAGGGCTGTAATCAGGGAAACTTCTGTGTGTGCCTGGGTGAAAGCTGGTTTGATTTCTGGCAGGTCCTCTGCTCTGAGGGTGATGGCCATGGTGTCATTTTGGAGGAGGTGGTGGAATTCTGCTAATTAGGCTGGAAGGCTCTGAGGGAGAGCTTTTCCCCTTGAGTACATTTACATTATTATGACCTAGCCCTCCTTTTAAAGAGCTGAAGAGAAACCAAAAATGTGAAAAATAGAAAAGGAAAATGAAAAGAAGGGGGAGAAATGGTAACAGAGGGAGAAAAGGGGAGGGGTTTCTCTTCCTGTGTGGACAGTGGCTCCCGTCCCCTCTGCAGCTTGTTGAGGGGCACACGTTCTACGTTCAAAGGGGGCTTCTTCTCGGAGTGCTCCGCAGGCTAGTGTGGGCAAAAGACTGGTGGCCTTTGAAGTTGGGAGACGAGTCCAAATGCTGGCACATTCGTAGCCTGCACGTGTGGCATTGAGCAGGTTGTATCACTTTTCCGTACTCAGTTTCCTTGTTTGTCAATTACAGGTTAAAATCAAGTTCCTGCCTCATATCCTTTGGATGGTGACAGTGGATATTAGAGTTTAAGACAGACTCTAAGATAGTTAGGTGTATTAGTATTAGATTTCACTGTAATGTGTCAATCCCAAGGAACAGTGACTCTGCATCTTATTTCCTTTTATGGTCAAGAAGTCCGGAGGCTTTTAGTGTAGGGCTGTCAGTGTTAGAGAGGCAGGCTTCATCTTTCACTTACCTTGCTTGCCTACGTGCTCAAGGTCATCTTATGATTGGTAGTGACTGTCAGAGCTTCAGTCGTGTTGTCCACATTCCAGGTGGTAGGAAGGAAGTAGCATTCAAGTGGGGCATCTACCCTCCCTTTAAGAATGTGTCTTAGACATTTCACATTCAGTTCTTTTTAGGACCTACTGCCAGCACTTTGTTGCAGGGCTGCCTTAAGCTGCCATGTAGCTGCAAGGGAGCCTGGAAAAGATAGATTTCTTCCAAGGAAGCCATGTTTTCTGCTAACACGTTGGAGTTCTGCTTCTAGAGAAAACAGATAGTGTGGCTACAGTGGACATTCTTTGTCACCTAGTAGTCCCCAAACTTGGTTGTGCATTAGGATTACATATCAAAAATGTATATTCAGGGGACCCACTTAGACTTACTGAGAATCTCTAAGAGTATGTTGCAAGAACATGAGTATTAAAAAAATCTATTCAGGTGATTCTGAGATAGTGGAGACTGTTTAGAAACCACTGCTTGAAGGGACAACATAAACACGTGAGGAGATTCTCTTTATCCCTGCACTCTTTGAAAGATAATATGGGAGTGTAGGAATTTAGACCTTTAGATTGCTTCAGGTTTTTGTTTTTGTTATTTTTAGTCTTTTGACTTGTGTCTTTGAGAAGTCTTTTGACTTCTGAGAATTATATCTGTTTTTTTCTTTTTTTTTTTTGCATTAATTGAGAACATTATTTCTTAGACCCTTAAAAAGGGATTGTTGGTAAAATTTGTCTGTGATGAGCCCCTGGTCCTGTTCACGTCTTCCATGGATGAATTTGAAAGTCCCAACCTCCTGGTGTGTTACTCCAAAGTGATTTACCGTGGGTGCCCATTTACCTTGAGATGCTGGCTTCATACCCACTAGCGATATGCCTCCTCTGTCTCCGTGGCTTGGTTTTTATCAATCATCGTGAAAAAGCTGTAGAGGCAAACAAGAAATGTCATCCCGTGGAGTCACAATAGAAGCATGTCTTCATCCGATGCGTGGTGGTTACAGGTGCCGAAGCTCGTCCTGACGGGCTGTCAGGCGCAAGGCCCCGTAACGAAGGATGTCACCATGTTCATCTCTCGTTGCACCGAAACTTCTCTGGGGTCTGACAGGTGCTTCTGAACACTCTTCAGTGATGATGCCCAGGCTGTCCACTGAGACATGTGGTGTTAGGAACAAGGGGCCCTCGCCAGTCCTCATGTCCTCTGATCGTTTCCTCATTATGTCATTGTCGGCCAGCTGCCCACATTTCCCGTGCTTTGCTGTTGTCAGGGCAGGGCTGCTCCCACGAGGGGCTGGTGTCTGTGTGCCCTGAGACCTGGAGCAGAGTGGTTCTCCTCGATCTCCACTCGTGCCTGCGTGTGCACCAGTATGCATATATTTTTTCTTGCACTGTGGTCTAGTGTGGGGGTCAGCGATGGCACAGAGGAAAAATCACTGGACCTGGAGTGACCACTGGACCTGGAGTCAGAGTTCCTCACCAGGAATTTTTGCTTGGCCACACACTAGTCATGTGACCTTGGGCAATCCAGGTATTCCCGTGGAGTGTTGCTTTATCATTAGAAAATGAGACTGCGTTTGTCCCCAGTGCAATTGTGAGGACAAAATGAGATAGCACGTGGGAAAGCTAACTCTGTATGCTTGTCATGTATTCTTACGACAGATATTCCAGTTTCCTGTTGCTGTCTAACAAATCACTTAAAGCACAGTGGCTTCAAACACCCGTTGTTTTATTACCTCTCATAGTTTGTGTGTGAGCGGGCGGTGGGGAGAGGTCAGGGATTTGGGAAGTGCTTAGCTGAGTGGTTCTGGTTTAGGGGTCCTCATACCATTGTCCTTAGTTGGGGGCTGGAGCTGAAACAGTGCAGACCCGGGGCAGGGACGCTGGCCCGGCATCGCTCTGCTTCGACTTGGGGCCTCTCCATGTGGCCTCTCTGCGGGGCTCGTCTGGGCTTCCTCACAACCTGCCGGCTCCAGGGCAGTAGGCGGCCTAGCTGGCATCTGAAGGCTTTTAGTACAAGTACTCCAGTGAGCAAGGCAGACGGGAAGCTCTTTATGACCTGGCCTCAGAAGTCAGAGTGTCACCTCTGCTGGTAGTGTATCTTATCGGTTGAAACATTCACAAAGGCCCACCCGGTTTCAAGGCAGTGGCAACACACCCCATGTCTCAATGGGAGAACTGTCCAAGAATTTGTAG